ATAAGGCACACCGGGTAGCGGGGCGGCACCCGGGGTACCGGGCAGTGGGGACACTGGGGAAAAGGCACGTCGAGGGACGGCAGATGCCGGGCATACCGGGCACTAAAGCACTGGTACTGGCAGTCCTGCCACACCAGCCGGAACCGGGACTTGCAGTCCTTGCTCACCGGCACAAGGGGACACCGCGGAACACCGGGCGGTGGTGCGTACCGGGAGACAGCAGGCAACAGGGCGCTGGAACTTGCAGTCCGGCTGCATCGGTACTAGGGAACACTGGGAGACACCAGTGTCTACGGCAGCAGGACTGCACCAGGTACGAACGGGTGACAGGGCACATCAGAAGACGCCAGGCAGCGAGGCACATCAGGGAACACTGGCTGAGCCCCCCGCTGCTGTAGGGTGCACCAAAACACAGCTGGCACTGAGAGACATCATGGGACAGTGAACATCAAGTCACACCAGGGGCACCATGTGGGCAGCAGTGAGGATAGTGAGCTACAGGGTGCACTGAGTGCCAGGGTACTTGTGGGGGCCCTGGGGGACACCAGGGGACAGAGAGCTAGAGAGTGCACTGGGTACCACAGCACACCAGAGGATGTGGGGCACGAGAGCACCTGGGTGCTGAGGACCTCAAGAACTCACGGTACCCTGGAGGGGTCACCAGGCACTGGAGGGTGGCAAGGGACAGCAAGGGATAGCAGGCAGTGGCCACAAGTGGAGTTTAGCAAGTTTAATGAGCGCAGGACAAACCCCGACCCACTCCCCATTCCCCCACCCCGCAGTCCCCAGCCCAGCCCACACCCCCCAGGACAGGTGCCCCACAATGATGCCCTTAGTCAACTTCTTCCATGCTGCTGTAGGAGGGGGCCGGGTGCTCGGCAGGGCTGGCAAAGCGCTCGGGGAGGCCTTCTGCTGCCAGCGCCGGGGGTGCTTCGGGGGCCAGGCTGGATCCAAATGGCACCGGGGGCAGGCCCTGCAACAGAAGGCTGGCATGAGAAGGAGACGACTGGGGGCATGAGAGGGAGACCAGTACCCTGTCATGTATCTTCTCCCTCCCTGCTCCCAGGGGGCCGTGGGGTGCCTGGGGGGACATACAGCCCCTTGGGGCAGGTACCACACACAGCATGTGTAGCCCTGTGGCCCAGAGAGTAGCAGTGGATGCCAGCCCTGGCAGCCAGGCAGGGGAAGGGCAGGGGGAGGGCAGAGTGCCCAGGGCCCCCAGTGGCAGCCCCCACCTGCCTGCTGGAGGACAGCCAGGCTGCAGCACGCTTGGCCCAGGCGCTGCTGCCTCTCCCCAGCCTGGCACTCGTGGCCCCAGGGCTGCTGTGGCCAGTCTGAGCAGAACCCTGCGCCCCGGCCCAGGCACCCAGCCAACCCGGGCGGCAGCAGTGAGCCACAGGGCAGGCTGCCAGTGCCTGCCGGGGTCTGAGGAACAGCACAGGACCAGAGGGGATTTCCACAGCCTAGAATGCCCAGCCGGAGCCTTGTTGCTGGCCACCTAGCCCTGGAGAGAGCAGGCAGGCAGGTGCAGGCAGTGGCTGGCAGGCCCCAATCACAGGCTGCCAGTGCCAGCCAGAGCAGAGGGCACCCCACCGGCGCCGGGCACTGACTCAGCCCCACGAGGCACCGTGGGTGAGCGGGGGAAGCCACCAAGTCCCAGGGATGCAGACAATGAGCCAACTGTTCCAGGACAGGCATCTCATGACCACGGCACAGCTCCACCAGGCTCCCTGGCTGGGAGCTGCTCAGTGGGGAGGACACGGCACATGTGCAAGAGGGGTGTAGCGTAAAGGCAGGGGGAGCCCTGGGCCTCCCACTGTCCAGCTCAAGCCCCAGTCAGAAAAGCAGGTGAGCCCCTTCCCTGTCAAGCATCCTCCCTGAGCCAGGCAAGGACACTTCCAGAGGGACAAAGGCTGAGATAGAAAAGGAAGTCACAGGGCTCTGAAGTCACCTCTTGCACCCAAACGTGCCGGAGCAGTCTGAGCCACACTGAGCCAAGGGCAACACGTCTCAATGTCAGACAGGGCTGGAGCTGCAGCCGTGCCCCAGCCTCACGGGACGGCACGCTGCCAGCTCCAACGGGCTGCCCATGCCCTGCACGTGCCATGCAGGAGCTGCTGCCCCACAGCACTCAGCCTCCTGCTACACAGGGTGCTGTGCTGGAGTCAGCTCAGGCACAGGAATGTCACTGGCTCCAGCGCAGTCTCCCATCACACAGGACAGGGATGCTGCATCTCTTTGGAAAACCCAGCTTTATTAACACACCAAGGTCCCACCTGCACTCCCTGACCCCAGGCCTCTTCCGCAGCACGGGCAGACCTTGCAAACAAGGTGCTGCACCACACTTCCCTGGCAGAGAGCCACCTCCCTTGGACACAGCCAGCAGGGGCTGAGTAGGGACCGCTCCCATGCCCTACAGTGCTGGTGAGAGCCAACAGCCCATGGAGTCAGGTGCTCACCACAGGCACCCCACAGCCCAGACTGCCAAGAGAGAGGAGCTGCAGCAGGGCCGCAGGGAAGCTCACAAGCTCATTCATGGGAGTTGGGGGCAGGGTGTGGGGCTTCCAGTGTGCAGGCAGCTGGCACCAGGAGTGCTCAGGGGAGGCTAGCAGGAGGGACGAGGCTGACCCAGAAGCCATGGGACACGCCAGCCCCAAGGAGCACAAGGCTCCCGCAGCAGTGTGGCTGGGAAAGGCAGCCAGACCAGGACGCATGTCAGAGCACCCTGCCCTTGCCGCAGCCTCCTGACAGGTGTCCACTTCATTCTTGGGAGCCAAGTGGAGGTGGTCACTGTTCCTGGAGGGCTCCCAGGCCCTGGCCATGCTGCAGCAGCAAGGTCCTTTCCTGAGCCACAGGTAGCCATGAGGTCTGCCCTGATCCCAGAGGGCAGCAAGGGTGAGGGAGGGCAGAGAGGCTCCTGGTTCTGGGCTGTGCCTTGGCAAGGCAGGGGGATGGCCATGCCAGCTGGCATGGGAGATGCCAGAGCAGACACGCAGGAGCCAATGGTCCCACACTTCCCTCGGTGAGTCGTTCCCAGCTCTTTCTGTCTGGCTGTCCAACGTGTTCGTTGCATAGCGTCCTAGGACAGCGGGTGTTCCGGCAGCCCTGCTCCTGCAGCTGGCTGAGTGCCCGTGCCTATCTCCAGCGGGTTTGGTAAATGAGAGGGTAGAAGACATTCAGGAAGAGAGCCACAATTGCGGCTGTAGTGGCCAGGACAAAGTATCTGGCGCAGCCTTCATCTGGGTGCTGGGGGGTGCCTGGACTATGCTTCTGGCCACAGGGCCTCCAGGAGCTTCTTGCAGGCCTTTGAGGAGCCTCAAGTTGCAGTTCTTGTTCTTCAGCCTCCAGTTCCTGCCAGATCAGAGAAGCCTGCGATGTGGAAACCTGCGTCAGCACTTGGAGAACACAACGGGCAACACCCCTCGCCATCCCCCGGGGCAGGCAGCTGTCTGCGAGCCCAGCCCAGTGCCCAGCCAGCCCTCCTCCCCATGCAGCACCGTCATGGTCACACCCGCCCCCACAGCTCTTCGGGGTCTCCGCTGTGTGGGGTGCAGCCAGGCTCCGGTGGGCAGCTCTGCGGGAGGGAGCGTGGGCAGCTGCCGGGTCTTCGTGGGGCCGCGGGGAGTGGAGAGGGCAGCTGGATCCCGGTGGAGCCGATGCGCTGGGATTGGTGGATCCAGGTGGCAGGCAGCAGCCAATCACAGCCCAGCTTTTGTGACCACAACGGGATCTTTCCTATCTTTCGGCCAATCCTGAGC